GCTGAAGCTGCATACGGGCCTGACCCGAGATTTTCTTTTTGAGGGGGATCGACTGGGATCGATTATTTTTTGGAGGGGTGTTCGCCCCCACCCCTAGATACGCCACTGAATATGTCCAATCATGAAAGTGAATAAGCTGGATACGCAGTGCAACACAGGCAACATGATTGTGAATGTATATGTGAAGAATATAGTTTGGCGGTTTTAAACGGTATATAAAATCAAATATTAGAGATATATCAAAGTACAATGTAAATAAGCAGAGTGTAACTACGTAGGCCCACAAGGTTGTAAAACAGGACACGTGTGCGGTGCACCGAGGAGGAGGAGGGGGAGCTTTGACAAAGGCTTATATTCCAAACACAGTTTTGATGATGGGTGACATTTTTTTTAATTGTTATTTTATTTTGATTAAAAACCACAACTTGCTTCTAAAGCTCAGGCTAAGACCTCATATCTCGTTGACGAGCTGGTTTTCATCACATGGCTTGAAGTCTTGCGTCTGGCTGACAACGTAGAGTACTATGATCAAACTGTTTTGTTATGTGATGAAAACGAAACTTTGACTAGCTGAGCCGGGAGCTGAACTTTATAATTTTTGAATAAAATTGACCATAGAAAATATAATATAGGCCTACTTTTTGTTTATTCTAGTAGGCCTAAATAGTAGAACATATAAAGTAAAGTATATTTTAACCAAACATCACATTTTATTTAATTTTAAATGGAATGATGGGATTCTGAAGAATTGTGTAGGACTACCCTATGTACTACGTAGTCTACTGTATTACGTCACTAGATAGTGAAATTAATTATAATAAACAAAAAATATATCAGCCTGCCTTATCATCTTAATATATTTCCTCCATGCTTATATGAGGAGTTGATTCATTTGTGATCTCTTCCTATTCAAGCTGACGTGAATTATTTTAGCATTCCAACTTTTAATAGAAAAAAAAAATAAATAAATACAAACCTTCCAGGATTCCACTACCAATCGCCGCCCAGGCTTTGCCCAGACGGTACCATGTGTCATGTGCTTTTTTGTTGCGCAGCAGTAAAAAGACGGCGGGTCTCAAAGTTTATGCAGAGTCAGCGCGATCTTCATTTTCAGATAGATGGTTGTAGAAAGGCGAAACAATTTGTATTTAAATCATCTACGGACAGCAAATAGCAATGATGGTTTGGTAGCACACTCTGCACATTTTCCCATAGTGGCTGATGGGACATGTTGTTTACCTCTGGGATTTATTTTAGGACGAGGCCTAATGCAATGACAATGTCGGTAGGCGCGCTGTCGGTAGGCACTGGCAGGCTTAGGTAACTGACGAAGCCGCCGGTAATTATTAGGCTTAGGCCTAGAAAGGGCAGATTAAAGCATTCATATGATTATCGTATATTAAACGTCTAATTAAAGAAACTCTCTTTACATTCATTTTACTAGACAGTACGTCTGTTCCGACGAACGTTCAGATCTTGTGTAGGCAGTGATAGGTGACTGATAATGTGTTAAACAGTTGATGCATTACGACGAATATTAATAATGGCGCAGACGGTTATCGTTCTAGGCCTAGGCTAGACTGGTGAGTGCAGTCCCAAGTGCAATACAATAATAAATGTTGGAAGATTTGTACTATACTGCATTAACAATAATTAACCGGTCTCCAAAATCAACTGATGTTGTTTATTGATAATCATTTGGTAACACTGCCGCTAGATAGGCTAGGGTGTTGAATTAACTATCACCAATTAGTGACACACAAACACGGCTTCGTTAAATAAACAATACACTTTTCATTGTTCAATGCAACGCAACGCATCTCAACGCAAACGAACACAACGCAATTTTTTTTTTGCATCGAACATGAAAAAAGAGTTTCGCAAGGAAAAACAGCAAAAAAAGAAGAATAAAACAACAGACCAAAATTACATACAAGCATCTATAGCAAGCAGAAACTTTGCCTATGAATAACGGCGTCATAATGCAATTATCTCTATGTATTATCATGCACAATTCACTTCTCAACACAACAGGCATCATGGATACCATATGTGGCTACAGTATAGGCCTATAGAACAACAGTAGAGCATAGAACTGGAAGTGGACTGGCTAGTGTGTGGACGGGTGGTAAACAAACCTATATTAAATTGAGTTCGTGAGTGTATTATAAAAAAAAAAATTTTTTTTAATCAGGTCGGTGGCCTTTTTGATGGTAGGGAGGGGATGCTAACCAATTATTTTATTTTACATGGCCTAATAATGTCATTTTGTTAGGCGCACGTATCCATCCCTATTAGGGGTGCTCACAGCGCCGTTTTCCACCTGCCGAGTGTACATGTAGCCATTTTCCGCATTATGTTATGTGAATTAATTAATTTAATTATTTATTTAATCATTAACGTATATTTATTTGTGTCAGACCAGACATGGATGGGAAAGATAGGCAAAATAAGATGCAAATACTCTTCGGGGTCACCATCCATCACCACCCTGGCACAATCCCGGACCTCCGCCTAGTTAGGCCTAGCCTAGGTGGCTCGAACAAAGAACGGGAAACACATTTGCCCTGCCACAGACGACCGGGTGCTCAAGAGATGTAATCGAGACAGTGGCCCCAAAAAATAAATAGTAGTAGGCTAAGCCTCTAGGCCTAGGGTAGAAGGACCTCGGCTAGGGCCTATACGCCTACCCTAACCTGGGCCTTGAGGATAATTAAACATGACATAGGGGGCCTAGGCTAGCCCAGGAGACGAGAGGCCTAGGCCTAGGCCTACAATACAAACATTCACATCAATACCTACGTACCGATAACCATGGTTTCATCGGGTATTTCTTCAATAAAACACTTTTTCTCGGTTTCACTTATATGAAAATATAAACCAGATATAGGAGATACTGCCAACATGGCAAATAACAAGATTTCTACGATCCCCTCCATATTCAACAAGCGTTTCTTTAACATTTAAATAGACAGCAGAGAGGTGGTGATGCCAACTGCTGTTTTTTGGTGTGTGTGTGTGTGTGGATCAGAACGTGGCAAGTTGTTTAAATCCGTTAAAACCGTGGTAGATTATTTGAAACAGCCCAATTCCTAATGACAACAATAGTGGGCTCCTTCTCTGAGTGGGAGCCCAGTGGTGCCAGCATAGCTGGAAAGTTAAAGGG